GCCTCCCAAAGCCCCTCCCCCTCGCCAAACCGCCGCGTCGGCCCAAGCGCCCGCCCCGCCCCCGGCTCCATAGCAACCCCTGAGACGCTTCAACTCCCATGGGTCCTTGCGGCTCCCCCTTTGAGCGCACGAAGTCTCGACGGAAGTGGAAGGGTGTACACACGCAAACCCAAACCCTCTGGAACCTCAGCCTCCCTATTTGTACAATGGCCCAATTCTTGTGACAGAGAGGAGTGAGTTCACTGTTATGACTGACCCTTCCCTTTTATTAGCCCCACCCCTTCCTACACCCTCCTCCCTAGAATCAGCCCTGCCTCCTATCCCGTCCAACCAGAATTGTTCTTTAGAGTGAGCTCCACCTCCTCAATTTAGCTCCGCCCCATACCCGTCCTTTAGATTCCGTCCAGCATTCTTTACAATATGCCCCGCCCCTCCTCCGTTCTTGCCAATAAATCCCTTCCTGTTTCTCCAATCAACTCTGGCCTTTCTCCGGCTTCTCCCCTCTCCCAGCTCCACTTACACAACTGCTCAGCCAATAATCCCCTACCAAGACCCCGCCCCTCCAATCAGCTACGTCTAGCTCCTGCTCGGCCAATCGGCGCCCTCGGCCACCTGGCCCCGCCCCCTTTCTTCCAGTCGCGGCTGCGGCGGCCACCGCCCGCCAGAGGGCAATGCGGCGGGGGAGAAGGGGCAGGCCCCACCTCCTTTGCCCGCCCTGCCCTCCCATTGGCCGGTGCGGGGGGCAGGGGGCGGGGACCAGCCTGAAGGCAGATACTAGCCCGGGAGCCAAGCAGTGCGACTCGCTCCAGGGGAAGGCGGTGAGCGTGCAGCCGGGCCGGTGCGCGGCGCCGAGGTCGAGCTCGGGCTGCCAGCCCCGGGCCCGCCGTAGCCATGGACGGCCTGCGCCAGCGCTTCGAGCGCCTTCTGGAACAGAGAAACTTGGCCACCGAAGTACTAGGGGCACTCGAAGCCAAGACCGGTGTCGACAAGCGGTACTTGGCTGCGGGTGAGCCGTCTGGGGGCGTTCGCCCCATTTCACCGACCTGCACACTGAGGCCCTGGGGTACCTGGGCCTCGGTCCTGCCCTCTTCCGGCCTACCCCAGCTGCGAGGTCCGAATCTTATGGAGGGGCGCGCCCCACTGCCCAGTGGGGAGGCCAAGATCCTGACTGGGGAGGGGTTGTGGACTGCGACCTCGGATGAGTCCTCAGCTCCTCCCCTGCCCTCGCTGCCCCACCTCGGGCGAGGCCACCCTCTTTCTCGGCCCCTGCAGCACGCCCACTCTGGCCCGCGCGTCTGGAGGCCGTCCTCTGCCCTCTCTCCCTTGGGGCGCTGGGTGCCCGCCAGGCCAAAGTCCGGTTCTTCCAGTTGCCCTGCCGGCCCCAGGGGTAGGATAGGGCAGGAGGGGGCAGATAGGCGCCAGTGCTCCGAGTGCCTCTTCACCCCTTTCCCAGATGAACCTCAGCCTGAAAGCAAGTGTAGAGATTTTGCTTTTTCAGGGGGGATACTCCCTGCCAGGAAGGAGGATCATTCCCCACCTCATCTCTTATTGTTTTCCTGCGAGTACCCCCTCTTCGCCAGCCCTCTCCTCTCACCGGTCAATGGCTTGGGCCAACTGTGCGTGAATAGTTGAGTTGGAGTTGGGTTGTTTGACAGCTGTAGTGGGGTTGGAGAAAGGTTGGATAGGAGTCAGAGAGAAGGGCCTCCAGCCACTCCTGACTGTAACTTCCATTCTAGTCTTTTCATTTTCTTTCCTCAATGACCTGGGGTGGCCCCTGTCACTTTCAGAAACTGTCTAGTAAGTAGTTAAATGCCTTCCTTCCCTCTTTTGCAGTGTTTCAGGCCCAACCACTCTGCCACCTCTTCTAGGAAGACCCCCTGGAATGAATCACAAGGACACTGGTGGGGGGGTGTGAATTCTGGGTGAGGACAGTGCCAGGTGCTTTGAGCACCTTCTACATGCAGATGCTGGGAGTCCACTTTCCTCCCATTTCCCTACCAGTTGGAGGTCCCCATGCCAGGCAGTCCAAGGAGGGTCTGAAATCTGCCCCCCAAGTTTCCAGTGCCCAACTCATGTCTGGCTCAGCCAGGGACCTGCCCTGGGAGCAAGCCATTGACCTCCTGCCTGGCTTTCCACATCCTAGTACCAGTGGTTGGGGAATTTAGGTCATAGAGTACTGGGGAGGGGCCCACCAAGAAGAGCCTGCTAGGAGGCTGGTAGTTACAGGAAGGAAACTAAGGCCCAGAGAGGCAGGGACTGTGTGGGAGGATGCCCCTGCCACCTGCCCTGTCTGGAGTAATTACCCCTCCCCACCCTCAGGCCCCACCTGTTGTTAATCTTAGGCCATTT